TCGGCCGCTGTGAGGCGGCAGCGGGCATAGCCCACAATGAAGGTGTGTTCTGGCAGGAGGCCATCCCGGAACAGCCACCTGGGGGCAGAACACAGCTTTGTGGTGGTGGCAGGCAGTGGACAGGCAAGCAGGCAGGGACCATGGGGCAGAGGGGTGCACTCACCAGATGGTGGGGTAGATCTTCTTCTTGGCCAGGTCACCCTGTGGCAGAGGGAATGACATGGTTAGGAGACAGTGGGGACCCAAGCTAGAACGTATCCCACCCTTAGTGACCCTGCAGTGACTCAGGGTCACCACTCTACAGCAGGCAGGCAGAGGGGCTCTGCATTTCAGGGAAAACCTGAGACTTCTGTTGGCAGGAACTGAGTGAGGGCAGAAGTAGACATGGAGGCCCCTTCAAGCCGCAGCCATGGGTGCACTCGGGGGCCATGAGCAAATGTGAAGACATTTCAGAAGGGAGGAAGGAACGGCAGAATTGTAAAGCCGAACAGATGCCCAAGAATGAAAAAAGGAAAAAGTGAGTAAAATAAAAATCAAAGTGAATAAAAAATGAACCAACAAAAGAGCTCAACAAAGCCTGAGTTGGTGCCTGGCTGAGAGAGACTGATGACAGCAGACTACCATCAGACCTGGCTGCTTTTTAAAAAGCCCCAAGTCACTGGGGCTATAACAGGCCAGATGGGAAACATGGAAAAGGGTTCCATGAACAAATTCAGTCCCATGTGACAACCTGAATGAATTTCTAGAAAAATCCAAACTACAAAACTGCTGCAAGAGACTCGAGACGGGCAATGCTTGCAAAGTGTCCTGGAGCCCATGTGGAAAATGACCAACGCTGACCAGAAAGACACCTGTGAGCCTGTTCCTTCATGCAGATGCAGAGCTCCGACAGAAAACACTGCCACACCGAGTCCTGCAACCTTCAAAAACATACGTAGGCCACCTGGTGGTATGCTGTTTAAGGCAGCTGGACATGGTTGACTGCAGTCCAAATCCTGGACCTGGCAGCTTGAAAAACATGCTGGGCACCTTGTGCTTGCATGCGTGCCCAAAATCCCAAGAGGAGAATAGAGAAGGGACTGCACTGTGGCCATCCTCCCTGGAGGGTGATTTCTCACTTTTCTCCTCCCTCTCACCCTCTGTCTCTCTGTGGCAAGTGCATGTACCCCATGGAAAATTAAGAAAAAAAAGAAAGTATAATGCACCAGAACCAAACTGGGTTTGTCCTGGAAATAACTGGTTGGCGCTGCAATCCCTTCTCCTCCACTGTCCTCTTGGGATCTTAGGCACGCATGCACACATGCCTGGCCTGAGTTTAAGCCACTGGGTCTGACACTCGAACACCAGTCAACCACATGGGAGTCTAGCAACATAGTCATTACACCAACTGCTGGTTCCTAAAGTTCACCATATTAACAAATCAAAGGAAAACAACTCTAGGAAATCTTTGTCTATTTCTTTGCCTATGTCTTGATTTTTTTCAATCTACTAACTTCACTAACCTTAACAGACTGAGCTGGACTGTTTAGGAGATAAAAATCTCATCAGAGCTGGTCCTATAGTGTAGTAAAGAACTACACAGCAGAAGGCAGATCCCACATGGCCAACCGGGGGGGTTCAAGTATCAGCTCTGGTGGCTTGAAAAGCATGCTGGGTACAGTGTGCTCAGGATCCTGATAGGAGGAAAAACTGAAGGAAAAAGGATTGTGGCCTGACTGGGCTGGTTGGTGTGTGTTGTGTGTGTGTGTGTGTGTGTATGTGTGTGGGCTCTCCCTTCTTGTGCACACATGCCCTCTTACATTAAAAAACAAAATATAAAACTTATCAGATAAGCATAAAAAAAGGAACTTCCTTAGCTTGGTAAAAGGCACCTATAATACTCCCAATCAAAACTGAACACGATGGCAAATATGCAATGATTCCCTCTGAACTTGGAAGAAAAGCCTGCTGCTGTGGGCATAAGGGTGTGACAGCAGGCAGCTCTGCTCACCACTCTGCCACCAGCGCACACCACACAAGGAGACGGTGGGAGGTTATTCGTTCATCTACGAAACCTCCAAACAGTCGAACCAATCCACAGAGACGTTACCAGGATTTATGAGATTTTTAGCAAGGTTACTGTATTTTAAAGAACCACAAGGCTAGCTTTGTGGTGTGGTAGTTAAGGCAGCTGGAACCCACATGGCTGAATGTGCGGTTTGAGTACAGGACCTGGTGGCTTCAGAAACAGGCCAGGCGTGTGTGCATGCACACGTGCCCAAAATCCTAAGAGAAGAAATGGAGAAGGGACTGTGACATAGCCTTGTCCCAACGGGGGTGCTTTCTCTTCTTCCCTCTAGCATACACACCAAATCACTACATAGAGTAGGCAAAGGTTCCTTAGATTGCACGTAGAAAAGGAATAACCATAAAACTGATAGAGTAAGACTTCATCAAAATGAAAAACTGGGCCAGCCCATGGTCTGGTAGTTAGGGGGCTGGCTCCCACATATATGACTATATGGTTTGAGTCCCAGACTTGGAGGTTTGAGAAACACACTGGGAGTGTGCATGTGTGTGTATCCAAAACCAAAAGGTGGGAGAAATGGAGGCGAGGCGATTGTGGTGTGGCTATGCCCCATTGGGGGATATTTTCCCTCTCTCTCTCTCTGGCAAGTTCATGTGCCTTCTGTCAATATTAAAAATGATAAAAGTATTGAAATTTTCTGCTCATCAAAAAGACAACTTTAAGGGAGCTAGCAGTTAGCGTAATGGCTATGTCGCTGGACTCCCACGTAGTCGACCGCGGTTTGTGTCCCGGACCCGGTGGCTTAAAACTCACGCCGGGCGCGTGTGCGTGCGTGCCCAAGATCCCGAGAGGAGAATGGAGGAGAAGGGATTGCGGCGTGACCATCCCCCCTGGGGGGTGATTTCTCGCTTTCTGTCTCTATGTCTCTCTCTGTCTGTCTGGCGAGCGCACGCACCCTACAGTGAAAATCTCTCCAAAAAAAAAAAAATAAATAAAAAGACAACTTTAAGAAAAAAAAGAGATTGGACCAGCAGATCGCATCATGGTTACATAGCTGGATTCCCATGTAGTCGACCATGGTTTGAGTCCAGAACCTGGGGGCTTAAACTCACGCCGGGCACATTATGTGCACATGCGTGCCCAAAGTCCCGAGAGAAGGGATTGTGGCGTGGCCATCCCCCTTAGGGGGTGATTTCTTGCTTTCTCTCAGTCTCTCTGGTGAGTGCACATGCCCTATAGCAAAAAATCTTTCTAAAAAAAAAAAGAAAGAAAACAAAGAGACAAACACAGAGCAAGAGAAGACATTCACTGAACTCATGTATATGCGGAACACATGAGAAGCTATGATGAGGCAGGCAAAAAAAAAAAAAGCAACTCAGTTTGAGATGGCTGGAAGGCTTGAACAGATATTTAATGAGAAACATAAACAAATGGCCAATAAATACATGATATAGTGCTCCAGATGCCGTTGCTGGAAAAGTGCAAATGAAACCACGAGGAGACACCACTCCACACCCACTCGAAGGCTGTAATCTGCATGCCTGACATGGCCACATGCCGAGGGGAGCCTGTGAGGTAACTGGTGGAGATGTGATGTGGACAAGCCACTGTCTCACCAAGTGAGTCGCCACACCACTGGGCACCTTCTCCTCGGCACTCCCTAAGAAAAATGAAAGCAGAGGTCTCTACGGATGTGTGCACGGATGTTCATGGCAGCCTTAATTCAAAAAAGCGCCTAACTGGGACCAGTGGTTGGTGTAATGGCTGCATCACTAGACTCCCACGTAGTTGACTGGGGGTTGAATCCCAGACCCAGTGGCTTAAACTCCTGCTAGGCGTGTGCGTGCGTGCGTGCGTGCCCAAGATCCTGAGAGGAGAATGGAGGAGAAGGGATTGCGGTGTGACCATCACCCCTGGGGGGGTGATTTCTCGCTTTCTGTCTCTATGTCTCTCTCTGTCTGGCGAGTGTGCGCGCCCTATAGCAAAAACCTCTCAAAACAAAACAAAACAAAACAACATGAAGCAGCACCTAACTGAAAATGACCGTAATGCTCAAGTAAGTTAACAGTGAATAGTCAAGCTGTGGCAACTCACATGACAGGCCAGGACTCAGCACTACACAGGGATGTCACCAGCAAAACAGGCCTTAGGAATCTATTGACTCTATGAAGGCAGAAGGCAGTGTCTGATGGGTGCCTGGCACAGGTGGTGGACTGGCTGAAAAGGGGACTTAAGCACTTTCTGGGGAGATGGAAATGTCCTCCATTGAGGCCAGACAGTGGCATGGCACTGAAATGACGCTCCTCAGGCCAACCAGTGGGAAGGTTTCAGGCTGGCATCCAGACAGCTCCCTGAGCATGTCCATGATCCATGCTGGTTGAGGCTGGGGGTAGACTGCAGTGCCGAAACTCTGCTGGGGGCTGCTCTCTGTCTCAGTCATGGAAGAAATAAACTTAAAGATTTATGCATTATGATGTATACAGAAAAAAAGAGACCGTGAAAAACGTCACTAATGGAGCAGAAGATGGGGTGTGGGTTAGAAATTTCCATGGGGGCAAGAGTAATTGTATGGGGCAGCTGCCATGGGTGTGCCGGGCTTATGGAAGTACCGAGATGGACTCAGGCTCAGGGTTCTCTACAGCATATATTCCAATGGAACTTGGTAGAAATTCTTATCAATAAGCAGTTGGGAAAAAAATTAAAAACCACCACTCACAAAAGCAAAAGTTCCAAAGAATGTGAAAATACATCTAATGGATGAGGCTACTATGGAGAAAATGACATTCAAGACAACTGGCTGACAAGGCAGGGGGCCCAGGCCTCACTGTGCAGTAGGGGCAGGGTCACAAGTCCCTCACCTACAGGCTGCCACAGCCCAACACACCTCACTTTTGCAATAAAAGAAGCTGCAGGTGTGAGAGGAAAGAGTAAGAAAGGTCATGGTGTCCCAGGAGCAGAACAAAGCAGGGAGCTGTCCTTTCATCTGCAGACCCTGTAATCAAGGCAGGACCGCCTGGGGCGCATGTTGGAAGGGAGTAGGGAGTAGGCATGGGGCACCCCAACTTGGATCTAACTCAGCCCAGACAGGACAACCAACTTTAGGGCTGAAAAGCCTAAACAGTAAAGACAAAACTAACATTTAGAAGCCTTCTCAATGGACATATCTGACTGCAAAACCTGAAACAGCACATGTACCAAATTAGTTTGGACCCAAATCCTTCCGGTTTTGGGGTTGATTTTGCAGATGGAGCTGGTCTGTGACATTTGTTGAACTCAGAAAAGCTCTCAACACAGGCAGGATGACACCCCACCCAAGCTGGACATCACCTGTGGAGGTACAGGCTCTACACTGCGAGCCCTGAGGGTGAAGTGACAGTGACACTGTTCAGCTGTCAGCATAATGTCCCAAACACTTCACCACGATCACAAAGGGACTTGTTCACAATGGCTGAACTGTGCAGATCAGTCTTTGCAAAGGGGAGAGGGCAGGCTGCCCGAGACATGCACACCCACCCAGATTGGTGAGAATGTGCCAGGGACCCTAAGGTGGGCTGCCTGTCTCTGGTCCCCTCTGGATGGGTCCCTATGGTAACTGCCACCTTCCATATGAACCACAGCGAGCTTCCCTGTCCCCTTCATGGATGTGGGGCCTACCCTGTCCATTGGGATGACAATGACATTACGCAAGGCCACCCCAGGGGCCCACTCACTCTTCCCTAAAGCCACTTGGACCTCCCACTTCTGGGTGGAGATCCTCCCACAGCCCCCCAGCGCCTCACAGTGCCTATTGGTGGGGCAGAGGGCACTGCTCATGCCCTCTCGGCTCAGTGTTGGCCTTGCTCACTCCAAGAAGACCAGTTTGCTGGCGACTCCTGCAGACTCCTCTAAGCCTCACTTGGGGCAGGTGTCCTGTATTTCTGCTTGGATCCCACAGACTGGGACTGGGAGGAAGTGGAACAGGCTCTTTACCCTACACCCCAAGCTGTTTGTTCTTGCTAAGCCCTTCAGGATTAACTAGAGATAGAACCTGCTTGCCTTGTTTCAGCTCAGCCCCTGTAACCCATAATCTGCTGGGCTCCAAGCGTCCTGGGGGAGAGGGAGGTGAGGTAGGATTAAGGACAGTGGGATGGGGGCAGGGAGGGGGGAATCGATGAGGCAGGCCCATGCTCCCTGCCCAGACAGGGGACACAGGAGCTGAGGCATGCTCCTCTGTGCTGGGTGGGTGTATCTGCCCCAGCAGCCCACAAGGCTCACACTTTCTGCTAGCTCAAGAAAGTCTACGCAGGTGGGAAACCTCTCTTCTTTCCCAACCTCCTCCTTTTACACGAGGACACAGTGGGGCCCACATGGTGACTTGGCAGGAGAAGCAGGACACAACTGACATCTCCAGCCTGTCTTCATCTGATGCCTGGCCCTTTGTCTTGCTGCACTCCACCCTATCTCCCAAGGGTCGCTGGGGTCAAGGGCCCACCTTAGCCCATAGGGTGGGGCTCTGGGGCTTCACGAGGGCCCAGTTGGCTCCAGGACACTGGGGCTTCAGAACCTGGGGGCTGCTGAGGTAAGCAAGGCTGAAAAGCCAACAAAACAGCCTCCCTTTGATACCCTGGGGCCCGTGAGTCACTGGGCCTTTGAGGGAGTGCCAACGTCATCATGACACAGCAAGAATCTTATCGGGCCCAAGGGGGAAGTCAGCGGCCCAGAAATGCCCAGGGCCAGGGAGGGGCTGGATCAGCCCTTGTACAGGCTCAGGCCCATCCCTGGGCTGGGTCCTGAGCATCCACAGAATCCAGGTGGGGAAACTGAGGCCCAGAGAGGTAGGGGACCCTGCAGTGTGCCCCTAGCTCTGTTCTGGCTATCCTCTCCCCTACTGCGTGGGGAGAGTCACTCTTTTGCCTTGCCAAGGTCTCAGGGAGTGGGGAAGATACTCTACCAGGCCAAGGTCATGTCTACCCTGCTGGGTGGCAAGGCTGGAGCTTCCTGCATGGGACAGTAAGTACTTTCACTCCTTTTCAGCTGGAGTGGGAGTCTCGGACAGGGAAACAATGAGTGGCTCTCTGTGTCGGGTGCGATGACCCCCGGAAGGAAGTTGGGCCTTTGGGCAATGGTTGGGTAAGCTGGCCAGGCAGGGGGCAGGGCAAAGGACTCCGTGCAGATGGAGTCTGCCCCAGGTGGCTGTGCCCGTCCTCCTTTGGGTCTCCAGGCCACGAAGCTGGGTCTGACTCAGGGCTTTGAGCATTTGCCCTTCTTTCTGTGTGGGCCTTGCCCAGAGGTCTCGTGCACCAGGCCCTCCTGTGATATGTGCTGCTCTGAGCTCACCTTGGGTCCCAGGCCCCACAGCACATAGGTGTCTCAGGAGGAGATGAACAAATGAAGACCTGCTGGTTTCCCAGAGGCACCCTGCAACCTTGCACGTGTCTGGCATGGGACATGGAGGGAGGCCAGGGAATGGGAGCTGGTCCAGGTGCTGCCTGAGCAGCAAGAGGGAGACAAACACTGACGCTCTTTGGAGGAACCCTTGTCCTCCCACTCCTCTGCTGGAGCTGGAACTTCCCGTTTCTGCTCTGGAAGTCTCCAGCTGTCCCTCCATGAGCAGAGGAGAGCAAAGGGGAAGCCTGCTGATTGCAGGGAGGCAACGTTGCCCAATCCGAAGCTGGCCACAGGCGAGGGCAGCAGGAACTCACTCTATCTGCTCAGCAAAGCCCGAGGACCCTCAGTGCTCATTTTAGAAGCCATCCTTTTCTGTGTGGAAACGGGTTCAGAGAAAGGGAGAAACTCGTCCCAAGTTACATGGTGAGCTGGGTGGCTCTTGGTGAAGTGTCTAAGGCCAGGCTTGTGGCCTGGGTCACTCATTTGGACAGCACGAGGCGGGGACAGGAGGTGAAATTGTCCTCAGTGCACTGCACTGTGTGATCCAACTGGATACCTCTCCTGGGTCCGAGAATTATGGGGAGTTAGGGACATGGCATAGGGTGGCCATCCCTTGCCCTTCTGTTAGTGGAGCCCTTCTCCCTTGGCTCTCCTCTTCTAGGTTCTGATCTGAAACACGAAGGTGGCAGGAGCTGGATTGGCAAAGGTGGGGCCCCACAGCATGGATGGTGCCGAGCCACCGGCTGCCTGGCCTCAAGCAGACCAGTTTTCATGGAATTGTTGCTTTGGGTTGCATGGTAAGTTAATGCCAGAGACAGCTGTACAATGGCGAGGAGCTCCTTAGGCACATCCGGGTCAAAAGGGAAAACCCACGACCAGTTTCAACTGGAGATGAAGCCTTGGTCCTCAGACCCTGCGCATATCTTATGGCCACACCTCACACATGGAAGGCTGCTCTAGTCTAGGGGCTGGGGCTCTGGAAGTTGGGGCAAAGAGATGGTGTTCAAAGAAAGGCTGAGTGTTTGCCCCCAGGGAATCTGATGCAGTAGAGAAGAGGCAGAGATTTTGTCCTCAGATCTTGCCCTTACAACTGACCTTGTGGTATCTGTGAACTCACAAACAAGTTTGAAGAAAATAGAGAAGAAATCACGTTCCCTGTTTGCACCTCACTTTTCCCCATTGAGGAGGAAGACCAGAGAGATGGTCCCGAAGGACCCGGTAGCTCCGGACCTTAGGCTCACTGGACCGAGCCAGAATTAATGAATGCTTAGTGCTGGGATGATAATGGTGTGTGGGCAAGAATAACAGGAAGGTTTCCACTAGCACCCCAATGGCTCACAAAACGCAGTGGTGGAAGTCAGGCAGTCCGGGGGAAACTCACCGACGCGCCCATGATGATGAATATGTGTGTGTCTGCCTGGTGGAACGCATCACCCTGGTACAGCTCTTCCCGCAGGATCCCGCACACTTGGGTCCGGCTCAGTGCCACCTGTTGTGCCATGACGTTCTCTGGCAAAAGAAAGGCTCCTTGATGAGGCAGGAGAACAGAAGAGCGTTTGAGATGTTGGCCCCTTTCTCCAGGGATCCTTTGGGCTCTCACCCTGCTAACGTCAGAAGCCACTCGCTGTGAAGGGCCTGGGGTGGGGGGCAGACAGGAAGGTTGGCCGGTTAGAAACTGCTGGCGCTGGCTCCAGCTACACTGTGCCAAGCAACTTTCTTTCAGGGTGTACATTACAACACCAGCGAGAGCATCAGTGGATTCCGGCTAGAACACCAACTCTGGGCAACCAAGTAAAACCCGGCGGGGGCATCACACTACATGCCCAGAACCGTTTTGCACCCAACTCTGGCGGAAACCCCTCAATGAGCTGGACCATATTAGATTGTGCAGGTGATGGAGTCTAGTTCCAGCCCTCTGCCTGCCTAGCGGAGCGATTCCCGGCTGTACCACCCCCTCCCCCACGGCCTCAGGGGCCCAATGGGGATGTGCGGGGGTACAAAGCGATCGGTTGAGACCCTCTGGGTCCTGCTCTGGTCCCAAGCATGGCAAACCGTGTGCATCAAAGGGCCGCGTGGCGCCGCCCCTCCGTGTGCGTTGCGCCCCACCCGTTACC